TCCTTTCTCTTCAACCAGAAAGACTACTATCTAAACACTTTCAGACGCTTCTTCCTCAGCAAAACCAAGCAAATTAAGGCTTAAAGGCTGTCCTCTGCATCACTTCCTTAACTTGTCCTGCTAAACTGAAACTGCTGTCTTTTCATGCAGTGCAACTTCAAAAAAGGTAAAAAAAAAAAAAAACAAAAAAAACAGAAGAACGAAATAAGAGATGTACTAATCACATTGTGTAAAACCTGCTCCAAAGAGAGTTTATTCCAGTCAAAATTTCTAACAGTTTAAACAACTGCTCAACTTGGCACAGCATAACCCTAGATAATGCCTTTGCTTGTTCCCTAAATCCTCACTCTCAAGCCATTCATATATGTAAAATCATGAAACAAGAGCCAAAAAGGTCAGCCAAGGCAGGAGAAGTAACAAAAGGCACTGAAATACTACTGTGATACTCCAGGGATATTGTAGGGCCTCTCCTCTACCCCATCTACTGTCCCACTGAAGCCTAAACAACACCGTTATATGAGCATGTTTCTTGTTGGTTTTTTTTTTTTTGAGACGGAGTCTTGCTCTGTCACCAGGCTGGAGTGCAATGGCGTGATCTCGGCTCACTGCAACCTCCGCTTCCCAAGTAGCTGGGACTACAGGCATGTGCCACCACGCCTGGCTAATTTTTGTATTTTTAGTAGAGACGGAGTTTCACCCTGTTGACCAGGCTGGTCTTGAACTCCTGACCTCGTGATTCACCCGCCTCGGCCTTCCAAAATGCTGGAATTACAGGCGTGAGCCACCACTCCCAGTATATATATGAGCATTGTTATTGCAGGCACTTCAGTCTCAAAGAAAAACAGATTCTCAAACAAAGAATCTTACCTATCATCTAGTCCTCAATACATATAATTTAACATAATAATAAAGTGTTAGGGCCCTTCTGGATTAAACAATCATTACTTTGATTCGGGATCCTCTCTACTCTGGTGGCCCTGAAAAGGTCACTTCTGAGAATATTCTAAAAAGCATCTGCCAAGTGATGATGGTTGCATAACCTTATAAATATACTAAAAACCACTGAACTGTACACTTTAGGTTTTTTTTTTTTTTTTTTTTTTTGAGACGGAGTTTCGCTCTTGTTACCCAGGCTGGAGTGCAATGGCGCGATCTCGGCTCACCGCAACCTCCGCCTCCTGGGGTCAGGCAATTCTCCTGCCTCAGCCTCCTGAGTAGCTGGGATTACAGGCACGCGCCACCACGCCCAGCTAATTTTTTGCACTTTTAGTAGAGACGGGGTTTCACCATGTTGACCAGGATGGTCTCGATCTCTCGACCTCGTGATCCACCCGCCTCGGCCTCCCAAAGTGCTGGGATTACAGGCTTGAGCCACCGCGCCCGGCTACACTTTAGGTTTTCTTTTTGGACAGTGCCTTACTTGGTCACCCAGGCTGAATGCAGTGGTGTGATCATAGCTCACTGCAGCCTCTAACTCCTGGGCTCAAGAGATCCTCCCACTTCAACCTCCCAAGTAGCTAGGACTACAGGCTTGTGTCACCACACCCAGCTATTTATTTTATTTTGAGACAGAGTCTCACTCTTTTGCCCATGCTGGAGTGCAGTGGTATAATCTACACTCGATACAACCTCTGCCTCCCAGGTTCAAGCGATTCTTCCGCCTCAGTCTCCCAAGTAGCTAGGATTACAGGCGCCTGCCACCACACCTAGCTAATTTTTATATTTTTAGTAGAGACGCATTTCACCATGCTGGCCAGGCTGGTCTTGAACTCCTGACCTCAGGTGATCTGTCTACCTCAGCCTCCCAAAGTGCTGGGATTATAGGTGTGAGACACCTCACCCAGCAATACTTTTTTTATTTTCTTTGTGGAGACAGGGTCTCAGTCTCACTATGTTTTGTGGAGGCCTCAGGCAATCCCCCTGCCTCGACATCCCAGAGTACTGGGATTACACGTGTGAGCCAATGCGCCCAGCGTGTACCGTTGAAAAGTGTGAATTTTACAGTGTGTGAGTTATAGCTCTCTCAATCATTAAAAAAAAAAAAAAAAAGGCCGGGCGCGGTGGCTCAAGCCTGTAATCCCAGCGCTTTGGGAGGCCGAGGCGGGTGGATCACAAGGTCAAGAGATCGAGACCATCTTGGTCAACAAGGTGAAACCCCGTCTCTACTAAAAATACAAAAAATTAGCTGGGCATGGTGGCTTGTGCCTGTAATCCCAGCTACTCAGGAGGCTGAGGCAGGAGAATTGCCTGAACCTAGGAGGCAGAGGTTGCGGTGAGCCGAGATCGTGCCATTGCACTCCAGCCTGAGTAACAAGAGCAAAACTCCTGTCTCAAAAAAAAAAAAAAGCCGGGCACCATGGCCTCCTCTGAGTTAGAACTGAGACCTGCTGGTTTTATTCCATACTTACTTCTTAATGGAATAGAGTTTTGAGAGGCATTAAAGGTGGGATGATGCAAAGAACACTACACCATTATTTAGAAGCTGTGGCTGTTCTAAAAAGGCCAAGTAACCCTAAAATCACTAACCCAGTTTCTCACCTAACAAAAAAAAAACAACTAAGTGGCCTGGAGCCATGGCTCACGCCTGTAATCCCAGCACATTGAGAGGCAGAGGCAGGTGGATCACAAGGTCTGGAGTTTGGGACCAGCCTGGCCAACACAGTGAAACACCGTCTCTACTAAAAATACAAAAAAAAAAAAAAAAAAAAATTAGCCAGATTCGGTGGCAGGTGCCTGTAATCCCAGCTACTTGGGAGACTGAGGCAGGAGAATTGCTTGAACCTGGGAGGCAGAGGTTGCAGTGAGCTGAGATCATACCATTGCCCAGGCAACAATGCAAGACTCTGTCTCAAAAAAAACAAAACAGAAAAAGAAAGAAAGAAAGAAAATTAGTTCTTTCCCATCCTACATATAATTTTTAAAAACATTAGCTGGCATTTTGGTAGAAGCAATTGGTAAAGTCAGTAACACCAAAACAGTTTTTTGATTAAAAACAAAAAAGCTGACCATAATGTAGGGATTTTCTGACAGCTACTTCCCTACAGGTTTTCATACCTCCAACTTCTAGCAGTGTCAAAAAAAAAAAAAAAAAAAAAAAAAAAAAAGATTAATGTAACTACAAATTAGCAACTATCAGGAAGAGAAAAACCTGCATGAGAGGTAATACCTAGTCACTCAACAGTGAACATTCTAGACCAAGGATGGTTACCCCTGGATGACTAGCTGGACAGGCTGTAAGTGGAGTCCTAAGTCTAGTCAGAGTGGTGCTGGTGGCTCCACCGAAAGAAGAGCCAGAAAGAAAATGGCTGGATAAACGGAATCTGTAAGATAAGGTAGAGACATGGGCACTTTTAGGAGCTGATAAGTGAACTAGATTAGACAGTCAAAATGGTTTGATGTAAGTCAAGAATTACAAGCTAAGCTTCCGTATTTAAAAGGAAAACACCGACTACAGCCATACCACCCTGAATGAGCTCAATCTCCTCAAAAGGAAAACATCAACCACCCACACAAATAAAAGAAACGCCATAGTCAATAAAACCACCAAATCCACTGTTGACATACATATGTCGTAAGACTGTTTCTCCAAACTCTATCCTTTTACCTCAAAAGAGCAAACGGCGACAAAAGTTTCTCTAGAAACCAAACTCCTAGAGTACTCTTACAATGTCCACTTACCTAAGAAATACCACAATACAGAACTTTAAAGAGAGATATCAACAGTATGCTCCCTCTTAAAATGTGCTGGAAGTCATGATACAGCCCACCAGTGTCCTGGCTAAATGATGAAAGGACATTCAGCCTTTTTTTTCTTCTTTTTTTCATTGTCTCTTTAAGGAAATACTGATAGTTCCTAAAATAAGCACCATTAGGAAGAAAATACTTTGGACATTCCTACAAAATCAGTATACCTAAAAGCATGCTATTTACCACAAAATAAGCACCATTATGAGAATACTTAAGTTCACTCATTTGACAGTCCCACAACGTCAGCACCTGCAATCTACCACTTCAGCAGCCCCTAAGTACTGGAAGATGTTTGAAAACCAAACTGGACTCAAAATCACAGAATGTGTGTCTACTAACTAATCAGAAAGACACGTGACAACTATTAAATTATAACAAATGCGCAAGTGTCTGAACAAACAGACTGGATTACTGACACAGAAACACAGGGAGTTATTTCAAGCAATCTGAATAAGGTCAACGATTTTACAGCAATGAAAATTCTCGAAACATGTCGCTGACAAAGGACAAAAGTCTAAGCCTCACTATAAAAAGACACAAATCAATATAGTCTCCTATCACACATTAAGTGAGGAATCCTAACCTTGCGGCACTTTGTAAACTTTAGAAGCGTACACAAGGCTGAGGGTAAAACAGATCTTGGTATTGATAGCCAAGTTTCTGCCCGATCACAAGGCTGCAGTGCATCTTGGGATTCCTTCCGGACGGTTCGGGGCCATGGATAATTTAAAACCTAATTACAGTTTCTATAGTAGAAACTGCAGCAAGAGACGCTATCTCCGCTGGGTCTAAGGTGAATGGAAAACTCGGGCATTTGTCCTCCACAACTCCTAGGATCTCTAAACGCCCACCCGACTGACTCTTGGCTCCATATGTCCTGTCCTCACTTCTGCGCCTCGTAGCACTGATCCGCCGCGGCCCCCACTCTGTCCCATACGGTTCTCATCTCAACGGGGTAACTGCGGACCCCAGAGCAGGGCAGGGGGGCAGCGGGGCAGCAGTCAGGTCCGGGTCTTCAGTCGCGTTTGCCCGCTGCCAGCTCCCTGCTTGGCCACCGCCGTGCCGCCCAGCGCAGGCCGGCTCCAGGGCTTGGGGCGCCCCACCCAGGCGGCCGGCGCCACTGTCAGCGCCCCACGTGCCGGTCGAGTCCCAGGGCCGCGCGCCCTCGGGCCGCACCCCTCCCCATGTGGGCTCCGGCGTCCGGCCCGGCTACCTCCCGGGTCCCGGGGCTGCCCCGCGTCCCGGGCCTTTACCTGCAGGCCCTCCTACGCCGCTGCCGGCTCCGTGGTTGTTGGCGGCGGCGCCAGCTGTGGGTGGCGGCGCTGCCGGGCCCCGCAGGAAGGACGGCACGAACTCGGCGGCATGGACGTTGGGCACGAAGGGCTTGGCGTTGACGTTGAGTTGCCGGCTGAAGGCCGCGCTGAGCTGCTCCCGCTGGGCCTCGGCCGCCGCCGCCAGGGAGCCGCCGCCGCCGCCGCCGCACGGGCCGGGCCCGGGGGCTTCCATGTCCGCCTGGTCCCAGCAGTCGGGGGCCGAGTCGCTGCTACTGCCGCTACTCCCGCCGCCGCCACCGCCGCCGCCGCCGCCGCCGCCGCCGCCGCCACTGCCGGGATCCATGATCGGGGGGGCCGTGTGTGTGGTGGACAGAGAGCGGGAAATGGAGGCAGGGGCGCCCGGCCGGGGAGGAGTGGGCCGCGCCGACCGAGGGAAGGCGGCGGAGCAGAAAGGCCGGGGACTAGAGACAAGATCCCTGGTGTCGCCGCGGCGGCAGCTCCAGTCCCGACTCCACACTCGCGACGACGACGGAGGCTGCGGCGACGGCGACGGCGGCTCAACCCTCCTCCTCGTGTGTGCGAGCGGATCTCCTCCCACCCAACCACCTCCGACAGCCTCACCGCCAACCCCACGCCCGGCGCGGATTGACCCCGCGCCGCCACCCGTACCTTCGCCTCGGTAGTTCTTCGCTCTGGCCACCCCCGTTTCCGGCTATTTAGCGCGGCGGGAGGCGGAACTACAAGTCCCGGCAGTGAGCGCGCGACACCGCTGCGGTTTTCCCGGGGACCGACGGGAGTCGGAGTTCAGGGACTGGGCGCAACCGGAAGCGGCTCCAGCTCCCGGCAGGCCACACGAGGAGGCTGACGTCTGGTGGCCGCTCGGCGGCCCCACCTGTCACTGGGTGGGGGCAGGGTCAGGCCCTGGTTGGTGCAGCTCTGGGCTGGGCTGAAGACTGAGTCTTTTAGCCCAAGGAGGGGGTCCATTCCGGCCTGTTGGGACACAGGTGCGCAAAAACGGACAGCATCTATAACGTGGGGAAGAAAAACTCATCTCCTGAAAATTCCTGTCCTCTCTTTTCACCAGCTTTCCTGCGTTCTCTGCCTCACAGTCTCCCTACCTTATTTTCTCCCCACCCCAACCAGATTTTGCCCTACATTTCAAAGCCGGTGCAGATTTCAAAACTGATTTCATTTTATGTAATCATTTGGTGGAAAAGACAATAAAAGCGTGAGATGTTCCAACTTAAAACTGCAGTGTGGCTCATAAAGCGCTGGGGCCCAGGCTCTGCCCAGGCAGAAGGGATTGTTAACTGGAAACTTTCAATGACTCACTGTTTGACTAGTCATTTAAAGTCTTCACTCAAACTTTTCCATCCTTTCCTCCTCCCCGCGAAAGAGTTTGAAAATTAAACGGAGAATTGCCTTATTCCGCGGTGTATCCGGCTGTACCTAACTAATAGGATTGTTTAGGTGAGTCCAGCTTCCTTTCTTACGTACTAGTAGGTGAAGTGGTTTCCTTTTTAAAGGTCTGACTTGCTTAAGAATTTCCACATATACTTCCCATTGACTGCATCTTAAACTTACAGATTGCAATTAGGTAAACCAGGGAAAATAACAAAAGCAAAAGATAAATACCTTGAGTTCGCATTTAGGTCCTTCATGAAGTAGGAAAAAAATGTTGCTCTGAGTACCTGTTAAGTTTTCCTGTAATTCACCCATATGGAGCCCAAGACAGAGAAAAACATATTGTTAGTATTTTTCTGAAAGGAGTCTAGACAGGGCGCAACTAATCTGACTACAAATTACAGAGTAAAGGAAGTACATACATAGAAAAGACGCTTCTGAACGACCTTGGGCAGTTTGAAAAAAAACACCAAAACCTTAACAAAATGTAGATCTAGATCTGTATTTTAATTTTAAACATCGATATTGTAAAAGAGAACTCAGCCTAATGAGATAAGTGACTCATGAAGCTATCAGGTATCTTCAAAAGGGTTCTAGGCTACGGTAATTTGAATTTAATATTAAACTAACAAGCTTTATGGATTAAAGAAACACCAGCCGGGCACAGTGGCTTACGCCTGTAATGCCAACACTTTAGGAGGCCGAGCCAGATGGATGACATGAGGTCAGGAGTTCGAGACCAACCTGCCAACATGGGGAAACCCCGTCTCTACTAAAAATACAAAAATTAGCTGGCTGTGGTGGCACATTCCTGTAATTCCAGCTACTTGGGAGGCTGAGGTAGGAGAATCGCTTGAACCCAGAAGGCAGAGGTTGCAGTGAGCCGAGATCGTGTCATTGCACTCCAGCCTGGGCAGCAAGAGCAAAACTCTGTCTCAAAAACAAACAAACAAACAAACCTGGAGACTGGTTTTAAGTTTCTCATTAAGTTTGTGGTCCATACTCTTTGAAAACTTAGGGGAATTATGGACTTTGGGGACTCAGGGGAAGGGAGTGGGGTGAAAAATGAAAGACTACGCACTGGGTACAGTGTACACTGCTTGGGTGATGGGTGCACCAAAACTCAAGAAATCACCCCTAAAGAACTTATTCACGGGCCGGGCGCGGTGGCTCAAGCCTGTAATCCCAGCACTTTGGGAGTCCGAGACGGGTGGATCACGAGGTCAGGAGATCGAGACAATCCTGCTCAACATGGTGAAACCCCGTCTCTACTAAAAATACAAAAAGTTAGCTGGGCATGGTGGCACTTGCCTGTAATCCCAGCTACTCAGGAGGCTGAGGCAGGAGAATTGCCTGAACCCAGGAGGTGGAGGTTGCGGTGAGCCGAGATCGCGCCATTGCACTCCAGCCTGGGTAACAAGAGCGAAACTCCGTCCCAAAAACAAACAAACAAACAAAAGAACTTATTCACATAACCAAACACCACCTGTTCCCAAAAACCTACTGAAATAAAAATAAAATAGTCTGGACACGGTGACTTGTACTGGTAATCCCAGCATTTTGCAGAGTTTAGGCAGGAGGATCGCTTGAGGTCAGGAGTTCGAGACCAGCCTGGCCAACATGGTGAAACCCCATCTCTACTAAAAATACAAAAATTGGCTGGGCGTGGTGGCTCAAGCCTGTAATCTCAGCACTTTGGGAGGCCGAGGCGGGTGGATCACGAGGTCGAGAGATCGAGATCATCCTGGTCAACATGGTGAAACCCCGTCTCTACTAAAAATACAAAAAAATTAGCTGGGCATGGTGGCTCGTGTCTGTAATCCCAGCTACTCAGGAGGCTGAGGCAGGAGAATTGCCTGAACCCAGGAGGCGGAGGTTGCGGTGAGCCGAGATCGCGCCATTGCACTCCAGCCTGGGTAAAAAGAGCGAAACTCCATCTCAAAAAAAAAAAAATATATATATATATATATATATATATATATACATATATATACACAAAAATTAACCCGGTGTGGTGGTGGGCACCGGTAAGCCCAGCTACTAGGGAGGCTGAGGCAGGAAAATCGCCTGAACCTGGGATGCAGAGGTTTCAGGGAGACTGAGTTTGCAGGGAGCCTAGATTGGGCCACTACACTCCAGCCTGGGTGAAAGAGTGAAATTCAGTCTCAAAAAAAAAAAAAAAAAAAAAGTGATCCACCTGCCTCAGCCTCCCAAAGTGCTCGGATTACAGGTGCGAGCCACCACACCTGGCCAAATTTGCCTTCACTTAATATGAAGTTTTGGTTATCGCCCATTGTTAATCTGAAGACCTAACTGAATCATACTTAACAATGTCCATTTTAAAGTTGGTATTAAGTGACTGTCAGGTTTACAGAGAACTTAACTGATATAAAAAGTAGAACTTCATTTATGCGAGGCCAGTATTGCTATAGAATAAAATGCTTTTCTTGTGTTCACAAGAAAAAATACAATGTGTTCAAAATAAAATACTTTTTTTCCAGATTTTCACTCCCCACCCACTTACTCCTAAGAAAATGTCAACACAATCAGCCAACTCAAATAATGAACTACATACACATTCTTCTCTAAGCATTTTGTCTTTTAATATTACTCCCCTTTATGTAGCATCCCTAGAGCACTGAATAATCACATTCTAATAGGTTAGTTCTTCACCTCTAATTCAATTAGCAGAGTTTCATTGTGCCTGGTAGTTTTTCTAGGGACAAAGGCAGAAACTGCTCAGACTGCTGCTTAGAAAAGCAGTTGATGTCATTAATTTCCTTGTCTCTGAATAGGATAATTATGGATATTCATGAAAACATCCATTCCATTGGTTTTCAAAAGCTTTGACCTGCCAGACAGAGTTCCAGCAGAAAAGTGAAAAATGCTTCTAGTTACAATGTGCTAAGACTGAGCAACTTGAGGGAAGGGTCTTATCTTAATCTTTATATTTCCACAGCCTAGTATATACCCAGTATATAAAAGGTACTTAATAAGTTTAAATGGGAGGATACTGCCCTTTGATACTCATTTAGGACTGTTGAGAGACAGGGCTAATAATTTATTTGTTTTATTTTTATTTTTGAGACAGAATCTCAATCTATCATCCAGGCTAGAGTGCAGTGGCATGATCTTGGCTCATGCAACCTCCGTCTCCCAGGTTCAAGTGATTCTCATGCCTCAACCTCCCAAGTAGCTGGGACTACAGGTGCCTACCATCATGCCCAACTAATTTTTTTTTTTTTTTTTTTTGAGACAGAGTCTCTCTCTGTTGCCAGTCTGAAGTGCAGTGGTGTGGTCTCCACTAACTGCAACCTCCACTTCCCAGGTTCAAGTGATTCTCCTGCCTCAGCCTCCTGAGTAGCTGGGACTACGGGCATTCACCACCACACCAACTTAATTTTTGTATTTTTAGTAGAGACGGGATTTCACCATGTTGGCCAGGATGTTCTCAATTTCTTGACCTTGTGATCCACCCTTCTTGGCCTCCCTAAGTGCTAGGATTACAGGTGTGAGCCACCGCACCTGGCCAATTTATTTATTTATTTATTTGAGATGGAGTCTTGCTCTGTTGCCCAGGCTGGAATGTAGTGGCATGATCTTGGCTCCCTGCAACCTCTACCTCCCAGGTTCAAGTGATTCTCTTGCCTCAGCCTCCAGAGTAGCTGGGCATATGGGTGCTCACCACTGCACCCAGGTAATTTTTATATTTTTAGTAGAGACAGCGTTTTGCCATATTGCCCAGGCTGGTCTTGAACTACTAACCTCAAGTGATCCACATACTTTGGCCTCCCAAAGTGCTGGGATTACAGGCATGAACCACCACTCTGTGCCCAAGGACTAAAAATTTAGAAAACTTAGGAAAAAACAGAGTTTTTCCTACTCTTACGCACCAGTCACCACTCAACACAGAGTACAGTCCTTTCTAGGTAGAGGAAGGGGATTCATTCCAGGAGCCCTTCAGATACCAACATCCAATCATACTAAAATCCCACAATCACTACTGTGTATATGAAAAGTCAGCCCACCCTATGCTTGGGTTTTTGCATCCTGAGAATCCTGTCTTTTTAATCCTTATTTGATTGAAGAAAAAATCCGTGTATAAGTGGACCCTTGGAGTTCAGACTCATGTTGTTCAAGGGTCAATTGTACTCCACCGTATGTGGGAGA